GCTTATATTTTATTGTCGCGGTAGGTATATAATTTAGTGCACTTCACAGAGTGACTTCCCTATACACAATAAAATATCCATGACTGCCCCATTGTGTTTACTAAAGGAGAAGAGAATCCCGTAGCGAGCGCGCTAGCTTCCGTACAATACAATCGGGAAGAAAAACGTATCCACACACAAAAGCCGCTCTGATAGAATTTACTCCGATTCGCGTCAATCTTCGTTATTATGCAAATTGGATTAATCTGGTGAAAGCAAACCGGAGGTAGTGTTTGGTTCGACAATATACCGTAGAAATAACCCAATCGCGGAAAACAAGGAGTTTTATTTAATTAATTTGTTTCAACGTTATCGCAATACTGTGTGCATTGAACTATGTCACTTAATTTGTCAAAAATTGATACAAAGTTTACAAAATTTCTATTATGTGTAGATTAGCAGTCTTGTTATAAATTATATCATAAAATTTCATTTTAAATGTTCTTTAAGAACTGTCCGTTTTAATTTATACCCGTTTGTACTGTTTGACGTGTTGAGTTTAATAACTGTTTCTGTTATTGTGTCGCTCTGTGACGTATTGATTTCGTTGCTGTTGAAATTCCACTAAATTAATGACGTGATTAATTTCCAGTAAATTACGTAAAAAAATCTTTTGGCGCGCATATTAACTTGTAAAGGGTGTCATATAGAACTATTTCAAATGCTGGGGGGTGTTGGATAAAACCATTATTATTAACGGTGACATTCGATTACACACCATTAGTAGCCCCAGTAAGGCTCATTTATATTAGGTTATGTTTTCCATACTAATTGATATATAAAATTAGTCGTCAAACAAGATTAAAGAATCATCAAGTTAATGATCACTTTAATTGTTAAGTCATTATTATACGATAACCGAACATCCTGTACTAGATTCTCTTCAAGATCCGCCCCTCTAAAGAAAGCGTATTGTTGTCATATGTTTTTTCAAAACTGTTATGGTTCATAAGATTTATTTTGATAAGAAAACGGGTTGGAAATAAATTTAATACTAGCACGCATAACAATAATAGTATTAATCTTCTGATTAATAGGATGATTAGAATGAAAATGCATTTATCTATCGTAGGTTTAATGTGCCAATCCAAGATAATTGCCTAATTATCAATTCTGATGACTAGAATCAAAAAGTCAAAAATAAGAACGTCTCTACAAAAAAATAGCAAATGCACATCAAAATCATTCAAAACATCGGCAACTCAATTAAAAGGAGCCGCACTAAAATTAAAATTAAGTTTACATTCATCCAAACGATTCAGAGGTGCATCACCATATTAGCCATAATAGGACTAAGAAGATAGTCCCATTGGAGTACCAACATTCTGGCTAGATTATTGACTTCAAATGATTTAAACAGAAACAATAGTAATCCAATGAATAGCTTAATCAATAGACATGGTCGCTTCAAGGAGATCCCATTTAGTCTCTGATGTTATAAATAGTTTCAGCTTCTGTTAGAAGACAGAAAAAACTTTAAGACTTTATTGGTTCTATTCTGTATATAACAGGTAGACTGCTTAGTGAAAATTGTATATGTAATTGATTGAAACGCAAGCTTTCCGTGGGGCGCGGTAGATGGAGAAAGGTGGGGGCTATACAAAACAGCCTGAAAAGATGGTGAAGCCAGGTACCATAAGGAAGTAGCCCTTCTACTGATCTAGGATTCTGAAGTCCGATAAATTACAGTTTCTGAATAAAGAATAAAAAACCTCTCTGCAATACATTACCCCTGGAAGCTGTACAGCAACACTGTGACTTTGTGTTTTATCACAATAATATTTTTTAAATGCCCACGATATTAATTTGATCATTGTCTTGTAAATCATTATTTGTTGTAAACTCATTGTGCACCATTTCAAACGATTTCAGAATTTATATCATTGCTTTCTTCACATTCGGCAGGTTTAGACCACTCAGGTTTAGAGGCCTCATTGGATACACAAAGTAAACAATCAAAAACACTTCAGTGTGAATGAATTGGTGTAACTACAGATAAGTCTAAACCAATATTTTAGACTTATCTGTAGTTACTGCAAATCGATCTTCAACTTACTTGTTTCTCTTGTTGTTTATAAGCCAGATTGAGATTGGCTTGTTTGCGGGGAGAGAAAGTTTCTGTACAATAATTGGATTATTCTACAAGAGTTAAGCTCAATCACAGAATATTTGTTATAACTGTTTTGTTTGTTGAAAGACTTAAAACAGTTGATATTATCGATCAAACTATATTACTTATGTTTTGTGATGCAGATACTAAGGGTAGAACTTGACAAGGTTAAGTCATGAAATAATTTCCATGGTTCAGTGAACCCAATACCTACCAGAAAATCTAGGAAATGTAGGAATCTTCTCAGGATTTCCTTGTGTTCATTATAATACATTGCTTTGTAAATTTATGTGGTAAATACTAAGTTGATGAAATGAACATTATTTTCTTCAACCTAGCGAACTTTTAACCTCCACGATTATTTTATGGTATGAAAATACAAACAAAACTAAGTAGATTGCCATCAAAACGAACTTAAACTTCCTTCTACAACCAATATTCTCTAAAACGTTTTTCCCACGAACAGAGTTCAGTAGATATTTGACCAATTACTTACAAGTTTGCTTTTCGCCATACCATTCATCACTTCAAGTAACGCCACGGTATTACAACGCAGTTGGTACGACGAGTTCTTAGGTGAACTGCAATCATTCCATTTGAGTAGCCTACCTCTTGACCTTCGGGTCACGTTTGTGAACATCATTCAATTCTGAAGACGTTCCAACTCATTCGCGATAAACAACTTCGCTTCCCCAGAATGAGAATATACTGCTTTTACGTCCTATTTTAGGGCATCAGAGAACTAACTTTTTTATCACTCCGATGTTGAACCATTATATTTTTATCAGATTTACGTGGTAGTAATAAAACGATATTAACGTGGATGTATTTTAGGAAATGTACGTAATCTTGTGATTGTTGAAGTGAAATATTTATAACAGAATATCGTCCCTGTTCCCAAGTGCGCCTTTTTTAAGAAGCGCTTAATTCTGTTAATTAAATACGAGATGGCGAAGGTGAGCTGGATGAAGATAAATTGCGCCATTACTGGGGAGAACTCATTAATAGTGGGAAATGCATGGGGTAAATGACGTGTAAGTGAATTGTGCTAAGACCGCGTACATTTCGTTGAATTTCTTGTAATCATCCGTTGGAATACCACTACTTCTCGTGTACAAACAGAATAAATTTGGAAAACTACCACTTTTAGGATTAAAGTTAAAGATAAAATTTAATCACACAAATTTAATTATAGACATAACTTACTGAAAATGTATAGTTTTCCTCTTCAATGCTGTATTTTTATGTTAAACGTAGAAACGAAGACAGCAATTTTATCTCACTCTGAAAATTTATGACTCATAGCTAGGAGAGTAGATCGAATACATACATATATTTCTGACAAAATTTTACATGTATTGTTCCCCGTTTTGTGGCAACATCAACTGAAATATAAAATATAATATATCGTATCACTATATCGGTCTTGGCATAATATTAGCGAAGCGTGCAATAAAAACGCCCCGACGAAGATATCATCTATCAGAACATCATACATTATCGCTAGATGATTTTGCGAGTCATTTCCGCAGCGTCTCTTTTAAAATGCACGCCTTCCCCTTTTCGCGGTTCAGAACGATACGAGATTTACGAATAGCACACGGCGTAAATCACGAGCCGAATCAATAACTATAAACGTCGCATTTGAGTCGAAATATATCATCCTTGAGGGGCGAGATTAATGTCGCCGGAGCTCGTGCGTAACGCCGGGATGTCGGGGACGTCGGCGTCGCGACGCTCGCCGTACGGATCAAGTTTTGAAGGTCAACGGCACTTTTCCTCCTCGGCGCCTCCTCTCGTGGTACACCGATAATTTGACAGGTGTGAGCACGTAATTGATTTACGTCGACGACGACATAAATTGTTTCACGTACCTGTTGTATAATAATGACCATTAATATTAATATACGGTAGTTAATCATACAAGACAATTCGAACATATGGTATTTCAATGTACATTTTCTGTTTAATTTAGGTTAATAAAACTTGAAATAAATTGTAGTGACGTAAGGAATTCAATAAGTAGAAATGATAATTATATGAACATGTAGATTTATAGACTTTCCGTTACATAGTTAATGGTTTATCTTCTAAAATGAATGTATTTAATTCATGTCAACTATCATTAACATGATTAATCAGGTAGAATATGCAGTTATAGACGTCATTTAAAAATTAAACAAGAATACAAGAAAAAATGTATGTACATTTGTATCATTAATATAATAAATTGTTTTAGCAGGATGTTCGAATGTCTAAAACTAATAATGTCCATCGCAAATCCATATCAATACCGTTCTCAGTGAACGTGTTTGTGTTGAAGTAAATAACAGTTGAGGAAAGTTCAATGGGTTTAGTTCAAGTCCAACGGCGTATCAAGTACACGTGTCGTATGTTTCCTAGATTGATATTGATCTTTGCGAACAGTTCGGTTAGACTTCGGTTTCGAATTTGCAATGCGATGCGGTTATTCGGACGCACCACCGGAAATTACTTTGGACTGTACTTTAAAACAGATATAAATTGCTCGGCATTGGAACCGTTGAATAGAATCTGCATTCGAAGTACGGTGTAGAGTCGGTGGTAATTGGTATTACGCGTCACTGTTTTGGTATTCCCCGTTTTTTTTCCATATTTATTTTTATGAATTTACGCGTGAAATACAAATGAACACTCTACGTAAATAAAATAATTGCCGTCGTTAAGGGAAAATAATGAAAATTGGTTCTATATGGAAAAAACGATGTGAAAAAACACACATAGACTTTTTATTTCGTGCCAGCAACAGAACCCGTACAATTTATTTATTTTGTTGAAGATGTAATTTCCGCTAACCTCGATTTTGTTTCAGCACCGCAAAAGAACATCGAACTAAAGCAGACACTTATAGATGAAACCGTACAGGTGTCTTGCATTGCAGAAGGAGTTTACCCAGCTCCGAACATGACTCTACTCGCCGGAAATAGGTAACCTCAAAAGCTGTTGAATTTACCCACCAAATACACCTCTAAACACTCGTCGGCACGATTAAACCGTATTCTGGCAATTTAACAATTCGAAGTTTATCCAGAAAATTAATCACGGCCGGCCGTTTACGTAGATAGGAACTGGAAATTGTCAGCTGAGATAATTTAATTGCCAGCGTTCTGCACCGGATGCCCAATTGATTTGCCCACTGCGTGCAAACTGTGTCGCCTACCAATGTAATCGTCCCACATATATAGAACAACAATTCAGTAACATATTTACTTGTAATTAGTCAGGTATTTAGAACATATTTATTATTAAAAAAATCAGTTTTAACCAAAAAAACGAAGTCATTTCTAAAATTTTATTAAAATCCATTTTTTGCAGTTTTTAAAATACATTAAATATTATTTCCGATTACTAAGTACTAATCCATTTGTGATCGATATCCATTAATTCATTAATGTTGAACATTTTTGCTGTAATAATTCACATTGGTACATAAATCCGTAATCGAATGCAACCGCTAATCGTTTGGTATCTCCGAGTCCAAAACCTATAGCAAAGCGAACCCACACAGAATGGAATTATTTGCGTTGGCGTTAAGGGCAGCGTAAACGGTCGTTAGCGGCCCATTAATGAATTATACGGGCTTTGATTGCGGTTTATGACGCCGCCGGCCGCGGTCGAGTTGCGAACCACCGCCACAGACCGCCCCCCAAATTAATTCTTGCCTCCCGTTTAGTAATGATTTTCCCTTACACTCTCTCTTTCTCTTTCTCGGCCACTCTACTTCCGACGTGTCCTTTTCGACCGGAAAGCAGTTTGGTGAATGACTCCGTGGTGACGGTTCAAGAACGTGGAGGTCTCTACAACATCAAAGCGAGCGGCAACGTTTCAGTCCTCGACGCCCCCGAAGAATTCTCTTGTGAGCTGCACATCCCGCAGGCCAATTACAGTGTCCGGATAGAAGCCGTGTATTATCCCCGTAAGTACTATACCCGTGGAACGATGGTAGACGATGCGACGATAAGAAAATTTTTAGTCGTACAAAGTATTTAATTTATGAACGTTGTTCGGTACTTGGAGAAAATTACTAATGAGGTATGGCTATTTCTTTTAAATGGCTTAGTGCCACAAAATTATTTGTATAAAACTATTTTGAAGTAATTTTGAAAACAAAAGTAACCTAATTCATTGTAAATATCTTTTTTACCTTTAAAATTACTGCAAAATTAAATGTACCACTAGAAAAGTTTTTCTTTAACTATAAACCCGGTTTGTCTAACCTACATCATAACAACAACGGAAAGGAATAAAGAGCGATACCTAAAACACTTCAAAATTAACAAAATTTTAGTGCTCACTTTGGATCATCAAAATGTCTAAGAACACACCTAATAAGCAACTATACACAAAGAATCGCTTGAAAAGCTGTTTGAAGAAAGATCGATTTTTTTACATGACAGAAACGGAAGTCTATCAATCATATTGGAAATTATCTCTCAATGCAAGTTATATAAGTCAATACACATTGTCAATGACCAATGAATCATGACTGGCATTAAGGTTATAACTTGTCTGATTTGTAAACCTTAAAAATTAGATATACATAGTTTTTCAAGTCTGAACTTTTGGACATTGGATGTAAAATCATGGAAACCATGAGGATTGCTTTCTTTTAAGGGATTACTGAAAACAAATGTAATAATCCATTGATAAACGTGTCACATGACACATACCATATGATAGTCGATCGCAAGTCGATCGACTATCATATCATATTCGTGGTCATAAATCGACAAACATACTCAGACTCATGTTGAGTCAATTGAAATGATAAGAAGGAGAATATAATCAATCTCAAACATTAAAAGTGGTAGAGAAAACCAAGAAATTATTATAAATAAACTGGATAGAGCGAAGAGAAAGTAGGACGCGAGGAAATAAAGTTGGCATACATTGTACTGTAAATACCAATACGAATTACATTCTATAGTCCTGATAAAAGTGGATGAATGGATTCACGGACTAAAACAATGTTATATCCTGGGATAATCGAGATAATCAATACAGACTAAAATTAACATTTCTTCATCGAATTCCAATTTTACCAACTAGGATTAAATAACGTTGTATATTGCCAAAATTATTTATACTTTAACACAGTAATGTACATACGAATCACAAACAATAGTTTGTTTGGTTAGAGATATTGCAATTTCGACATATTCAATATAGTAAAATTTGATTGGCAAGTTGCAATATCAAAATTTAATTAAAACACGAATGGGAAACGTATCTATAGGATAATATTCAATTATACAAAAAAAAATTTTTTTAATTTTATATTTTACATTAAATATGTAAAATAAAGGTTTATTAGGCTGTAACCTGGGAATACATTTGAGAGAACGTTAGTGACGCTACTCGTAAACGAGGTCATTCACATAAATCTTTTGCAACATCTGCAGCTCCCGGCAACGAAATCATCACGGAAATGTGTCCCTCTCGACAGATACAAACTTGACGATTACGGGGCGTTACTTAAAGGGGCGGAATTCTGGTCTCTGAATTACCGTCGTGTTGCAGTAGGGTACGATGGGCGCTAAGTTTCATTTAGCAAATGGGGCCGCGTTATGGAACTCGTTCCGGATGGAGTTGTCCTCGTTTCTTTAGCGGTTACGTCGCGGTACAATGTACTCGCGATGACCGCAACCATGAAGAACTTCGTGGAAGCTTTTAAGGATATTGTAGATTATATAAATAATAATCGGCTTTATGTCTACCTCTTCTAACCGAATGGCGAGATACTATCTGTAATTTATTGCAGTATATTTTACGAGCATATTGTCGTCGTTCTCACAATCGAATAGAACCCTTAAACCGAAGCGTTCGGTGGCCTCTTAATACGATCAGTTCATAGCTGAAGCTATCTGACATGTCGTACTTGTTTTATTCCGATAAATCGATAGTTCGGCCGGTTGCAAGCGACAGCGGGACTTGTGAAGAATTTCAAATTTACCACAAGACGTTATAAACGGAACATACGCTTATTAACAGCTGTTTCAATGATGAAGTGGCGATATTAAACCAATTATACTTTTACGTTTGTTTGCTAATAAAAATGACCAAAAAGTTTCTCTGGGTTAAAAGAAATAAATGTTTCAGTTAAGAAAAAGAAAAAAGGAAAGTTCCATTTCGAAAATAGAGATTTTGAGAATATTGCAAAAACGAACGACAAACTTTTTTAAAAACACCGTGTATAGTGTACAATCTCCCGCACACCCATTCATATATGTGGCACCCTTCGGAAATATATGACAGAATTCCATTTGTCATAACAGTTTATTATGCGTTGTTGGGTGCGCGAGCGATGCATGTTGGGAAATCCGACAGGAAACGGAGCAAACAAACTTTTCGCGCGATTTCACATTGTCGACGAAACTCTATTCGAATCCATTTACTGTGCGAGTTTGACTCGAAGAGAATTCATTAGGATACGTCTTACATGTTCGTAGAATATAAAAGCTCAACTTGAAATTTTAATCGCAACAGAAACACAAAAGGCGTCATGGCGTTGGGATTCTTATTACTCCTTTAAGAAGTTTGTGCACCTGATGTCGCTGATCGTAGAAATCTAAGTAGGTCGAGTCAAAACTTTGTTCTTTCCAACAATTCTTTCCTATTTAATGTGATTCCATTATTTTTTTATTTACTTTATAACGTACGGTTTAGGAATCGCGTTATAACGTGTCTTCTATTTTAAAACAGACTACAGCTTTGTGTCAAAATTAACTTAATGTTAAGTTTAAATTTTACGAGAAAAGTTCTTTTATCTTGCGGCTGGATAACAAAAACTCGCTGAAAACGGGCGTGACAAGCAACGTGGAGGCGAGTTTCAGTAAGTCTCGGCATCCTCTGGAGGGTATAAACCAAAACTAAACCATTTAGAGATACCTAGTCTCTGCAGGCGCTGCCGCCAGTCAAAGTCGCTTTAATGTCCCCATTTTAAGCGAATTTGCATTAAACCGCGGTATTTCGTGCGGAGCTCGGTACATAAATTCAAATTTAGTGTACCCAGTTGGAATGCGACCGTGGAAACGAATTCTCTCCCGGGTATATCTATTATTCCGTGCGCTGTTTCGGTAGGAGTATAGGCCCCGAGCTTGCGGTGCCAGACATCCAGTAATTTGTCAGCGTATAGTTTAGGTTTTCAATTTACGCGAAGCTTTCGTTACCTACTGCGCAAAGAAAACGGTAACGAGGCCGTATCCGAAACTTTCATGTCTGCTTTAAAGCTCCCAACATATTCAAACTGACACGACACCCCTGAAAGATAAAGCTCTTTCAAAATAATATCGTATGTTTTTAGTTCCTCCTGAAAGAGGATATTTAAACTTTTGAAGGACACTAACGTTACGTTCTTTTGATTTTTCATATCATAAATTTACATAATTATAATTTACATGCTTTTAGAAAAAAATAAATGGTGATTTTTAAGCTACTCCTAGCAGAATTTGTTTAGTGTAAACAGTATAACCTGCGCCTAACGGGCTCTTACCAAGGTAGTTTTATGCCTTCAAGGTACCCAGTAGCAGTGCGTTTTACGGCGCCGTAAAATAGGGCAACGTAAGACGGTCCACGAGTAGCACAGACCATAACTTTCAGCTGGTTAAGTCTCAGTGCAGCAAATTAAATACACAGGAGCAGTCTGTGCTTTCGGAACGACCATCCTAGGAGAGTGTAAAACAGTGTCTTCGAGAACGTAGAGCTTTGCGCCTCATTCCCCAGTTGCCCGTAACGCCAGTTATTGCCGTAGAAAAAGAGAAAAACGCCGGTTCTGACCGTGCAAGAAGTTTTCTATTATGCATATGCATGTATGCAGATCGTTTCTGCTAATGCTTTGGCATACTTACGGTGTGCCTGACAAAGTTCCGAGATGAGTCGTAAATTTTACAATTCCACTTCCATGTAGAGTTATGGCCTTCTGGGGGAAACGAAACTTCTTAATACTAATAACCGGTGGCGACTATTTATTTTATCACTTCACGTAAGTGGTGCCCCTACAAATTGTTTCATATTCACATTTATAATAAAAATAAAGAACTTTAAAAGATTGATTATCAATAATGGTGAATATCATTCTCCATCAACCGAGTAAGAACTAAAAGGAGAGAGAGAAAAAGTCGATTATCCTTTTACCAAGGAGGATCATAACACGTTCACTTCGTATATGGCCGAAATGTTCTACATTTGAGAGCACTCGTGCTTCCCCCATATGATACTGTACACGGTAACAATTTTTCGAAAGCAAATTTCAGCGTATTGGCACCATTGCGTCAGAAAAGCGCATATTGCGAGTCACAGCTCTCGCCGCTATAAAATTCGAAATATCTAGATTTTGTCGGAAAGTAACTAGATAGCGTTAGCTCTACTGCAAAGCGACGTCTTTTGGCTTAGAGGTAAGCCGGGAGTATAACTTTAAAAATTTATTACTTTTCGTCGATAAAAATGGTGGTTCGCTAAAATGCGAAGAGAGACGGAAACGCGACGTAACATAAATAATGTAGAATTCAGCACTAAAATAAAAGTGTCACGTAATTAAAAATTACAATAAAAAAAATGATAAAAAAGAAGTTATAACATCGAAAACCAAGCGACGACGTGATGCCGTAAAACGAAGTTAATAAAATCCTTGGATTATATCAATTTTAAAGCATCTAAGTCAAGACGATGTCTCCGTAATCAGTGTAAATCCGTGAAACGTACACCCTCATCCACTATTAAATTATTCAAGTCGATCCGACTGCATAAACTCGCGGCCTCACAGTGCCTGCGGGGCAAATGCGCGAGCACGTTCCATCTTTATATCTGTTGCATCGAGTTGAGACCTTTTTACAACCAACGGCGTTATTAAGGAATCCCGCCCTTCCTTCTCAATAAGAACGTCTCCCACTCTCATAACTTTATATCAGGGTGAATTGTAAAATTTACGAACCATAGCGGAACTTTGTCGACTCACCCGTAAACTGAAAGCTATTAACCAAAACTGATCTACATAAATAGCTCAACAATATATTGCTCTTGAACTTAGTATATGTGAGTTCAATTAGTGGAAAAAACAACAAAAAAGAACGCTTTTGTCATACATAAATCGTCGATGTACCGTCGTTTGACCCACACAATTTCCAATTGCACCCAAATTGAAGTTTCATACCGACCGGTCCTTTTTTTGAAGCGCGCTTTTGGTAGTCCGGATTCCCTCATCGCATATTTTCCGACGGCGAATTTCCGAAATTAAAGCATCCATGGCACCCAGCCAAATTTTTAATTACGATAACGGAATTTATGTGACGGTCGCAAACCCGCAACTTTGCGGTCGTAGCCTCCGCTAAAGATAACCCAGGTAAATCATCATTGAGATTAATTCTTATGAAGAGAGTGTTTTATCCTGCACCCGCATTTAAGTGTTTCAGCGCCCTAATATTTGTGTAACGACCAACAGATATTCATCTGCATTACGATGTTATGGAAGTCTTGCCGCCCTAACCTGATGTTGTAAATTCTAATGTGCATAGCTTTTTTCTTTTTAGTAATACAGAGGGTAGCTTTAGTCGACCGCGGTGTTCATATCGGCCTAATTAACTACCCTTTTTCCAGTAATATGAGGTCTTTTTATAGGAGCCAAGTAATTGCCGGCGTATAATAATAAACACCGAGCAAACGGTCGTTTCCGTGTTGGATCGTCATAACACCGCAGACTTTGCAACGAGATTATAATAATTTCCGAACGTTTTATGGTTGGTGTAAAACTAACCATCTCTTTAGTTCTTGGATCAAAATTATGCAATCAGTAAATAATTTATGTACTTTCAGTAATTTATGAAAAATACATAAGGAGTATAAAAAACGGTCGTAATTACAGATTACCTATAATATTGAATATTGTATTCTTGGTTATGCGATGATAAAGTAATAATTATTTATTCATAGGATACTTTTTATGGAACGGAACAATTTACTTTTATTGATTAAAGCTTAACTAGAATGAAAATACCATTTTCCTTTAATATGTGACTAAATTTATTGGAAAAATTTACACTGGTGAATTATTTTATTACTATTTATCGTACAATATAAAAGTTTATTGGTCAAATACCCACTCAGGGTATTCACATACCGAGAACACAAAAGGTTGCACACAGAGAACAATGGAAAGTTTTAATTAACGATTTCCGGTAGAGCTGTCAGTTTGTCGTGTAAATATAGAAACAGGTACACAAAAAAACGCATTTTACCACGAACAGAGTCGATTTTGCAGTCGCGTCATCCACCCTAACATCTAATTGCAATCGCTAGATTTTCAGTATCGAAAATGCAATTAATGTTTTGGACAGTTTGGGAACGAAGTTTGCGTAAATATTTAACTTTCCGCCGTGTGTGTGCAAGAGATATTGTGCACGGTTCGTATATTGGTACCCTCTCATGGCTATTACCTATTGCTAACATCTATATTGAACAAACTTAAAGTTAATTAAAGTGATTTTAATAATGATAGCGATAGCAATTTGATTACTGTTTATGATTACATTTGGTTTGCCGGTTCCTCGATTAATTTCCTCGTACTTGCGATTCATCTTGCTGTATTAAGAGTATATTATGTTCTTTTCGTAGAATTATTGCTGATTGATTGCTTACTATTTAGCTTGTGCTTTAGCTTTTAAGTGTTCACAGGTTACAAATTTGTTTGAAAATTTGTTTTTAAGAGCATAAGTCAAAACGTCATCCTTAAAAATAATCTTAAAACAAAGCATCGCCCGGCGCCTCCACCGAAAGTGATTTCCACTAAATATTGTATTCTAGAACCTATTAGTAAATGTACTGAACTTTAATGAAAAATAATACATCGAAATGAAACATGTCCTGGTTTGTTTTACGGAGGATGATCAGAAATTAATGTCATAACTTTTACGTTTACACAACCTGACGTGCGATATTTTCTTTACCTTCATAGTATCATCAATCTCTTTAAAAAACTTAAAAAACTTTCCTTATAAGTTGATACAAGCGGAATCACCAGGTGGAATTACATAGAATATGGCAAATAATAAGAGACACAACGGCATCACGATTCGCTGTAAATATTTATAATCATCTTGTAACTGCTCCAATATCGCCAATATCTAAAAGTACTTCGTTAATTTTTTGAAGATATGATATTGTGTGGCACGGTAAAATTATTTACGTAATGGCTTCATCATAATGGCTTTGTGTCGAAGCTCTACCACCAAAAAAAAGTTTCGTACGCACTATCTCTAATATTGCCCAAAATACAGAGCGTTTAATTTTGTAATTATCGCATAGTTGTTCAACTATTTCAGCAGTTCGATTTGAAACTTTTTGAAGCTGCTTCACCAGTAAGCATTTAATTTTCCCCTTCTTAACTCCTTACGGTTCGTTCGCAATACAAAAATATCTCATTAGTGGAGTTCAGATCTTGCAATATATCCTCGAAACATATAGAGGATGTCGATGAGCAGGTGACTTTCACTAATAGACCCAAGAATATAATATGATGGAACTTCTTTCCCAATACGTGTCTTGTTTCCACTTTACCCATTTGTCTTTCTTGTCTCTTTTTGAGTTGTTTCTTTTAATTCTTCTACTTATATTCCAATATTTGTGTTGAACAAAAAAAAATGAAACATGTATGAAAAAATATTTCGCTTATATAATCATTTTTATTTATTTTTTTGTTTATCAAATTACGTAATTATTAAAAAAATAATATTTTAATGCATGATAAGGTTAATTACAAAAACAACATTATAACAGCTGTAAAACAAACTGCTTTGAAAGGATGTAGCTTGGTTCGAAGGCGACCATAATAAGTAGGTAATGCAAAATAAACTTTCGATACAACCGCATTGTTCCAAGAGGCGACCCTCTACGAATCAGCACTTGCCTTATTGTGAGTCAAACTCGCGCGAACTATTGATTTTCGACATCGCCTAAAACGGAACACCGTTTTCCTCGCTACAGGAACTTTGCGTGGCTTCCTTCTTGGGGTGTAGGGGGTTGGCTTCGGGTGACTCAAGCTCTCTACGAGAGCCGGTGGATTTGATGGTTCAGCAGTTGCCCTCTTCGGACCAGAAACTTAGTTTGCCACTGTTTATAGACGCTGTTTGAGCTACGTTAACAACGAAAACGACCTGCGCGCCGCGAGAACTTCGTAAAATATGCAGCTTCTCGCGAATAAAAACCATTCGAGAATTTCGTTACGCCAAGGAATTTCTTAGCAATTCTGGTGAGCTGCTTCAGTGAAGATAGTAAGCAGCTACTACTTTAATTATCGAGGAAACGTGCATATTTTATAATGTTAATTAACGGGAAGTACTAAGGAAGTATTCAACAAAATAATATATTTTCTTTAAGCTTTTTTCTTTACTTCAAACATCGAATTTTTTTAAAATAAATCTCGATAAAATTATTTATCTAAAAAGATAAAACCCTGTGTTAGATTTCGTTTCGAATTTCTCGTCTCCGTGGTTGGAATGTTTCAATGTAAAACGGTTTGATGTTCCAGAAAATGGCGCGGCCCAGTTGAAATCGACGACCGTTTTATTTCTGTGGGAATTTATGCTGCTTGCAGCGTACGTGATGCGCCTCTCATTTGGTAAGTTTGAACCCCTTTTCCCTCATCGCTTCCAAATTGCTCATAATGCCCTTCCTGTTATAGAGGGAGCCCGATTCCTATAGGAAGGGTACCATCACCGACGACTACCACCGTACTGAAGAACGACGAATACGTAAATGTTATAAGTGTATTGTAAAATATTTTCTATGAGACGTGTAAAAATTCATATCTATATGTTTAAAACATTTTAAATAAATTATTTACATTTTCGACCATGTTTTTCAGCCTGCATTTATTTGTTTTACCAAAAATCATCACAATTTTGAATTTTATATCTAATATCTACTAAAGTAACTAAAAATTATTTCATTAAAACTCATTAATCAAGATGTACTATAACTTTAAGACACACATATTTTTTATTTCTTCCAAAAATTATCATATTTATGAACCAATAATAACCATTTAATGAAACTCCAGGGATGTTGAATTTGCTAGCGTCCAAAACGCAATTTCTAAGTTTGTAAGTGCGCTGATATACAAAGATAAAATCGGGTTATAAAGTTTAAAAATAATTAAATTGTAATACCTGTTCAAAAATGCAATCTGGGCGAGGGTTCATACATTCAAACATATTTTTTAATGGTAACTGAGGAAGATGTTTTAAACTACACGCATTTTGTAAATTAATGGGAGGAATTGGATTACAGCTGCTGGTGTTCATAGATGTACATTTTTGCATATCGATGGTAAGTCTTGCCTGAAATTAATATTAATGCAGATAAAACTAAAACAAAAATATAATCCTCACCGGTTTTATATCGATCTTTTGTTTCACCTGTAAATCTGCATTATACATAGCATCTTTCCCATCTTTAGATCTATAAAGGCGAACGTTCTTTATATTGGCAACCATCTCCTTATTACAGGGTTCGAATGAATCAATGTAAGTATTCTATAATTTTCGTATTAATTAATTGATTTAATAAGGATTTAAAGTCTATTACCCCTGCGGTCAGCTCCAATAATAAGATCATGGGAACGAGCTGATACATTTCGAAACGCATTTTCTGGATTACTGTAATGGGTGTTATCTAAAACACATTTATATCTCGTTTGTTGGACGGAAAACATATAATTGATGTTCATGTACCGTACAATTTTTTATTGGTTATTTATATAAATGTAACATTGATGAAACTAATAAAAGAAAAGCTTGCATAATTCATTCCCCAACACAGTTTCAATTTTTAATGAAGAAAAAGAGAAACTATAATTCATTATTAGTCCTTCTAACGAACTGACAGCGTATCGCTAAACCATCAAACAGCTAATAATAACATACTTCAAGTAGAGGGTAAGCGAGTGTATCCTCACTCGTTAACAGAACGATGGCGTCATCTGGTAAGTCCTCAGCTAATGCTTTTAACCAAGTTACATAGGTGGACGTGCGAATCGGAGTTCATAAACAAGAGATAAAGGCGACAGAGGAACAAAGCCCATCATTAATCTGCATTAGTTCCACGCGATGCTTTTTGAATCCAAGTTCCGGAGCTCGCTGTCGCCTCCGAAAGGAAGCTCCAAACCATTCAGCTCCTGATGAAGTGCTCGCTACGATATTTCAAAGCTCACCTATGGCAGCCGCGGATCCACGATCATTTAACATGCTCACATCGGGCGAACAGACAATGATACAATTACGAAAACGTACGGTCCCACGAAATTGTGACGTGAATACATCACTGATGAATAAAAAAATTAATATGATAAAACAAATAAAATGTACTTTAATTTAATAAATAAATTAATGAAATTAATTAATTTTAAAATTTTTCAACATCAACTCATAGTAAGTATTTTAATTTGAATCCACGACTATCGTTAAAAGCACGCTTTCAGCACCAACTGAAAGCCTGCTTTCAACCGTGACCCGTTGTAGCGGTAAATTTACCTTTTGCTACCGCAGTTGGTAATGTTACGATGGGAAAACATTGGATGATTCCGCATTTTTACTATAACATTTTCCGAACGATGCAAGCTTTAACTTTAAATTCAACAGATCAATATGGAATATTTGGATAATAAAACCTTTTTGAATGTTGTGATCCCGTTTTCATTATATGTAGTACTATATTGTTTAGTGGTATAATAAAATTTTGAACATGTTGTTGATTGTGTACACATTTAAAATAAAATTTATCTCGGTTCATGCTTTAGTCACACCAACCCATTTATAATGCACTACGTCCATTTTAATGTAACGCGGCAGCGTGGTTAATTTATTTAAATTTAAGTTTAATTTGACAAATTAGACGCGTTTGGAGCCATCAGTTAAAACTTAATAATCAAAATTAGCTGCGAAAAGGCAACGTAATTGAACAGAGTTTAAAATACCTCAAGCACAATTTATCCTATTAATGACGTAATAATTTAACATCCTCGGAGAACGGCAACAGAGTAAACAACATTAACCGACGGTGTTTATTCAACAAACTGCGGGTTTCTCAACTTGGCGACAGGATGTCTATCGTTGAAAGACAACATTCGACGTTCAGTGTAAAGAAACTAATGGTCTTCGTAATTCGCGAAGCGTAGGGAAGCAACGAGAAGAGAGGCAAGTCTGTCGTGCCTAATAGCGTCATCCCCAGTGCAAATAAAGGACCCCTGTTGATTTTAACCCCTTCCGAAAGACTCACACATTGAAATTCGGAAGCAGAGAGCTTTCTCACACACACACACCTCCAAAGGTTACAGAGATACCTAAACGACGACACTCAGTTTGCTGACAACCGACATACTTATTACATCAAACGTATTCTAATTAGGATGCAGCGCGAATATATGGTAATGAAGTAGTTCTATCAGAGGGCGACATTATAAACCCTTCAAGCGCTTTCTCCCCTCCGGCTGTTCAATTGGTCTGTGGTGTTCTGCATTAAGGGATATCAACAATTCCATTTACATCTAATATGGCAACGTGGCCAATCTCTGCGATACACTAGAGCGAAGAGCGTTCGCTATTTAGTAGAGGGTGGGCAAATTGAAAGGTTACTTGAACGTCAATCGAAGGGCTCTTCTCCCTTTCCGATACCATCAGCTATTCATCGCTTTTTCATGCTGTCGCTGCTGGTTTAATTGAGATATGGACAGCAAATTGAGTCTACTAGTGGCTTACCTCTGCAGGCGTACTAAACACTTCGTAATGTAATGGTTGTGTGAAGGCATCTGAAATGATTTCGTTACCGCTACAAAACTCAATTATACAGAGTGATTTTTGGGCAATCGTCTAACAGATTGGGGCGTAATTTTCGAGTTTCCTCGAGGAAATTGTCTTTACGGATGGTGTATTTTTAGGGAATGGGCCTAAAATTAAAAGATAAATTAAATTTCCGTATTCGGATCTAAATAACAAAAAAATTCATTACTTTACATAACAGAGGATATAGTATATAAATTAAATTCTAAATAAGCTTCATATAGCATAACACCGCAACGAGTTAACTAGGTTTGTCTATACAGGATAAGATTTCCAAGCGGAATGTCTTGGCTTGAACGTTTACCGCGATAAGATTAAACGGAACAGATAGTGCACGGGATATACGTGGAAACCACCATTGCAAATTCCTTCCGGTGCATCTGATACAGCATCGGTAAAATTCACGCCTGAGGTATTTCGTAACGCAATCACTTCTCTAAACATACGGACCCACTGATTCACTCATCCGACACCAAAACTTGTTAATTCGGCCCATCGCATTACTGGCTCCAATCTGTTTGACGAAGTCTCTTTGGCGCCGCAGAAACCAGGATCGGTACCACCCCAAGTTTCAGCTCCGTTTCCGCATAGAGCACATATGAGAGAGAAGAGGAATCGGATGTATCCCGAACATCCACATAGATACATCAAGTGGAAACAAGCAAAGTGGTTCCTAGTGTTATAAATCCCTTTCCGGTTTCCGCTTATGGACAACACTCGGCTACATTATTCGAATTGGCTCATTCCTATTCGCGCAGCGAGTATCTACACCATTTCCTTGCTTGTTCTGAAAGGGAAAACCCACCGACGATTCTACGTCTCCTATTTAACCTACCCCGATCGGCCATCACGACCTTTTTCACGCCGTACACCTACATACGTCAGTATTTATCGGGGAAATATTTTCTTTGGAACGAATGGGGCATATCGACTTCTAAGTAGGGTCCGGTTAAGAATATTTTGTATTCAATGACAAAATTATGCTTACCGCAAAATAATTTTTTTCCATATGAGCACTCTTATATACTAAATCTTACAAAATCTATAAATAAAATATGTTGTATGCATAAAAAGATAATAGATTAATAAGATAATTATTAATTAGCAACGTAAAAGACCAAAATTCAAATCAATAGGGATTGTTACATTGTAGTAGAATAAAACTTTGCATGGAGGTGATGCGCTACTGCTGTTGCCGTAACTAACTGATTCAATACAGTATTGTTATGTTATTTAGAAAAAGATTTTAGTTTAACTATAACGTTTCGAAAAGATCATGTAATTAGATTAAACAATACAGGGAGGATCTTTTTTTCTTATAACAACTCATATTTTAAGTCCATTGTAGCCAATATATACAGACGATTTAGTTTAACACATTATTATACCCATGTTTTAAAGTGATGTAATTAATAATCAATGTGTTAAGTAACATATTTGTTTTTAAGGAAGATATTAACTACTTTTATAGTCGATTTCAAAGTAGAATGTACGACTTTCGGTCCAGCCGTATTCCAATGAAATTTGAATCTTATTAAATATCGAAAATAAGGGAAAACTTATTATTACCGACAACTTTAAGCCAAAAGTTAGAGAGGGTACAAATAGAACAAAGGAATCCCTAATCTCACGTTCACATCACAATGAGATTCATCCGTAATTGAGTGCTGCGTTGGTAACGACCATTAACACACATATTCTAGCGCAAGCGATTAACAATTACCATGGCAGCCAAATAATTAAATATATATAATACAATGCTGAAAAGCTGAAAGATGATCCTTCTACTTTTGTGATGTAGGCTAAAACGTAGCGATGAAAGATTTTGTCGAATCAATACCGATGACCAGTACGGACATTATGAGAAAGGTATGTTCACTTCAATTCCGAAAAGAAAAGAAATCTGAATACCTGAAAACATCATTATATTAATGACTGATGAAATCTCTTATCTCAACAAAGCATGCTAAAAGAGAAGGGGTTTTACAAGGAATAA